GTAATAGATCAAAAACGAGTGCGAGTGTTTCATCAGGGGATCCAAACACCGAGAAACAGATGAAAGCACGCGGCCGAAGGCCAAGTGCTTTTAGCGTTTCGAGATGTTTGGATTCCCCTGATGAAACACGAAGCACGAGTTTTTGATCTGATTTCTCAAACAAATTGATAATGAATGACTTCAGCTGGCAAATTCCTTAAAGACCGTAATTGGATTTATTCATCAGTCCTATTTTGGGTATGAATAGAATGAAAGTGGCATCATCAATCGCTATTATATATATAAACCCCAAAGGAGAGAGATTTGTAATAAATTTGTAGTAGTTCTGTTTATTCAGTTCAATATATTTCATAAGTTGAAATGGCGGAGGCAATCTCCGCGTGTAGCTTTCGAGATCCAACAACTCGAGAAGAAGATGCTGAGTTATTGTCAAAAGCTACGCCACAATCTACAATACAAAACGAAGTGGGCCGTGGAAATTTTCATGTCATGGCAAATGTGTAGACATTACGAAAAACCAAGTACAAACGTATGCAAGATAGTGTCAAACGTTCTCGGACATGTCGGATCGCAGCCTGTGAGTTCGACCATGACCACGAGTACATCAACAGTACCCGGCCGGTCAGCAGGCGACAAGAGGGAGAAACGCATATCATCCAATGCTCCAGTAAACCCAGTGATCAATTTGTCATAAATGTGTATTACAAAAAACCTCAATAAGAAATATGTATGTTCAAATATGAATGAAGTATTCATAGAATAAATATAAAGAATAAAAGATGAGTACAAAATATGCAAAATGTGTACACATCTCTATAAGAATGAAAAAAACTGACCATTAAATGTACCGTGGACAACTATAAAGTATAATCGCTTCTTTAGCAAATATAGATCTATCGATTTTCTACGTGTAATAAGTTAACATAGCCACAAGGAGAAATATAAATAATACGTCAAACCCAATACTTTCAACAAAATCATCACTAGCTAAGTTGGTTACGCACTGGACTCTCAACCCAAAGGTCACCGGTTCGAGCCACTCCAATGGTAAGAAGTAGTTAATATAATATAGTAAAATAACATAACATAAAAATTGATTAGTTAAAATAAAGATTAGAGAAGTAAGAAGAAGAGAAAAAACACCCCAAAAAGATAAGTGGTTAAAAGTAACGGAGAAGTTTTAAGAGCCTAGCAAATTTATGTTAATGAGTTCCAAACCCATGTGTCTGGATATCCAAACACATGGATTTGGATATCTAAACACACGGGTTTGGAACTAATTAGCATTCTATGTTGGATCATGGTATCCAAGGGTGTGCACGTGACTCTAAAATAAACATCCGATTGGACTATGAAGTCATGAATTATTAATGAGTTTGAGAATCTTAAATCTAGACTGTAACTTTTTAAATGGTTATTATTTGATCTGAAAAGCTGCTTTAGTTTGCTCTCTACACTGCTTGGTTTAATGCAGACAGAAAAGCTATGGTTTATTGGTGGACCAAGTAAYTATCTATAAGTTAAGATGATTCCTCTAGCGTTCACTTGGTTTTCATGGTTGCTATATAAAATGTTTGTGTAATACTTGAAAGACAATTCATATAGATGCAATATCTCTTTATTCTTAAATTCTTATTACTCTTATTCATATGTTTAAATTGTCAAATGTCAAGTTATCATTATCCCTCTTTTAATAGAGAAATATCATTGACGAGAAATTCTTTAACAAAGCTATAGAAGCTACTAATGTCTATGTAAAGAATATACTAAATTATACTTATCAATAATATCATTATAACTTTAATTCAAAGGTTTCAAAGCTGTGGATGTTCTTTTTGGCCAGTCGGATTTCATWTGCGTGATTTCGATAAGCGTTTCCTCTGTTGAAGAGAAAGATACCAATTTTAAGCTATCGACATTTAATATCTAGATAAAATAGTTATAAAGAAAAATAGGTACCATTAACTTAAAAATGCGTTACCTCTATTAGAGCTTGCTTTCGAATACGTCGTTTAATAGGATTTCTTGTGTTTTCACAGGTCCAGTTCCTGAATTTAAGGCAGATAATACTTTAATTAAGATGGGATCAAAAACGAAATTAAATAATACAAATAAACAAAGATAAACAAAAGTTTCAACGCTCAAGGCATATTTTAAAGCAAGTAGGAATAAAATACATAATCTACCAAAAATTCCCATTTCGTGTCTCRCACTCTTATCCCCGTCAAAGACCTTCAGTGATGTCGCACCAGTCTTATCTGGTGAATCCTAACCGAACTGCAAGTCTAAGCCAAACCTCTGCGATATACTTTATCAACCTTTTGTTTTTTTGGCTTTTAAAAATGAATGCACAAACAGCTGATTGTTTACCGAAACAGCCCAAAGATGGTAATAAGTATCACGAAAGCGGAATTAACCATTTGCAAGCTCGGGAAAGTCAAGCAAATCAAGGCAAGAAAACAGCTTTTAAGGATAATGAAGCAGTAAAACAATCTTACTGTATACAAATGGTGTTCAGATGTTTGTAGAAGTGAATGTCACCTTAAATGGAGACGTATGAAGCCTTGAGTAGCCGTACATCTGATTATCATTAGTTTTCGTACGTAATTTTTGAATGATAACAAACATACCGTCATTCTCCACTTCTTGAATTTCCTGGATGCCATCGTTCTGCTGTTTCTTTGTATCTGCTTTAAAAGTTTTCATAAAATTAGTTCCGATGTCCTATTATACCTCTCGAAGAACCTCGAATGACTCCATCTTTGCACAGACCATTGTTTCTGTGTATAAGTGATAATCAGGGTTGCTGTTTTGGAGGGGCGTCCTTATGGGCACCGGAAACACTATAAAACCGTAATTGGCCATAATCTAACGGAAACACAGACATTTCTGGAATTGTGAAACTCCTGACGAATTTTCTGCATCTGTCCGTGGTAATAATTCGCGCGCAGGTCACCAGTTATAAACTTTATATAAATCTATATATTTAACGACCGCTTTAGCCACAGAGATCGAAAAGTAGGCTGATTTTATAATCGGCTCAAATTGTTGTTTTAGATATTTTTCTTATTGGTTTACAGCGTGCAGTRTCTTGCTAATATCACTCCGATCAACTTGCTCCGTTCAAAAACAAGAATATACGAATTTAGATTCTAGTAGATGTACAAGTAGGCTTATTTATAAAGATGCTACCAAATTTATTGTTGACACTAGCGAGGGCACAATAGCAAACCTTCTTTGTTCCCTTGGCCATCGTTTTCCTCCTTTTCTTGAAACTGCGGATTTTCATTTCCTGGTTTAGAAGGGTAGCAAATATCAGATCTTTGAATGGAAATACTCCATTTTCCTARTCCAGTCCCAGCCCCTTTTCGACCCGCTCGGTTAACGGTCCTCTCGCGGGGAAAAGGGTCCAGAAGARCTTGCATGCGCATGCGCCGCCATACACCGCATATATACGGTGTCATGGCGGCCAAAGGGTTTTTCCTCGCAAAGAGAAGAGACAGCAAATGATAATGTAAGCGAATAGGCGTCAAAAGTCGATTCTGATTTCATATCAGCAGTAAGATATGCTCTCGAGTCAAGAGCGTTAAGACTTCAAACCAAAGTCAGAACAAATGGAAGCTTGGTTTCATCTGTCGAAAAGTAGAGATGAGTTCGTCCGTTTGAGTACTGCATTTGGCAAATCCTTTTTATACAGTTTGTTTCCGTTGATATGTGACATCTTTCGTGGTTGCCGTTCATCTATAGTATTGATGATTTCTCCATTT